GGTAACCCGACAGGGCGACATTGACAGGTCAGTCTGGGCAGGAAGTCCCTGAAATTAGGTTCGCTCTTCTTCCCCAAATCTTTGCAACAGGTCTCGAGTTCACAGGCCGCAGTGCAGAGGACATACCTGTGTTGAGATCGGACAGAGGGCTCGGAGCAGGGAAACTGAGACCTGAAGCAGACTCCCTTCTTCCACATACCCCACCCCGCACTCCCATATAAATGCGACTCTGCAAACAGACCTGCCAGGCCTGTGAACAGAAAAAGGTTTCTCCAAAGCTAGGCCGCTTGGTAAGTAACTATTGAAATAGTTCAGTGGTTCTTGGCTTTGGTTGCACCTGGCAAGTATTAAAGTACCAATGTCTCGCCCCCTCCTTCTGTGATTTGGATCCAGTGGGTGTGGGATGAAGCCCGGGCATAAGAAGCTATAGAAAGTTACTCGAGTGATTCTTCCTGTGCAGTCAGGATCGAGAACCCCCAAATTAGTTTAAACACCTTCGGACTGCAGCCATCACACTGCAGAAAGCAGAAAACAGTCCCCAAGAACGTGGGCCCAAACTGCAAGGGAAGACTTTTCAGTCGATGATCAGATTCAGGATGAATTGATTAAAGGAAAATTTACGGATTATGGAACAAGGGATCAAATTGTTCCTGGATCTGAACTTACTATTATTTCAACTTTTTATTTTAAGAAGACTCTGTACCCAACATGGGGCTTGAACTCACAGCCCTGAGATCGAGTCACATACTCTACCAGGTACTCCCCTGGATGTAAGCTCATGCAAAACATTATCTGAGAACCTGATTAAAGTTGTTTAACCAAGGTATTTTTAAAATAGGATTTTGTTAATAATAAAAAGTGAAGGAATATCTAATCTCATACTCCCATTAGACTCAGGTTTCAGTACCACAGGATATGGGTTATGGGAAGGAACTCAAGCTCTGATAGCAGAATGAAGTGGGTGCAAATTCTGTGCTGCCAGTTATTAGCTGTGGCACCCTGGGTAGGTCATACAACCTCTCTGAGCCCCTATAATGGGGGTAATAATACCTGTTTCTCAGAAGGCTAGCAGGGATGAAATGGGACAGCATATTGGAAGCATCTTTAGTAAGGCTCTTTGACACTGGAACTACGTGGATTAACTCAGGGTTATGGTAAAGATATTCAGGGAAGATAAGAACAAGGCAATAGTCACAAAACCCACTTGGAATTGCCTGGAGCCGCTACTGAAATATTTTGGGAATGGGGGGCAACCCTGCCTGGTCAGTAGCAGGCATTCTTGGCCCTGATGCTCTGCCACCACTGTGGTTCAAATACTTTCCATCTGTTTCATTGGCTGGGTCTTGCTCTATTTGCAGGCTGATTAGTTGGGCCTGTCACCCTCCTGTATGGGTAGGCCTATTCAGTAGATCTACCGCAGGCCACTTCGTAGGTCATTGACAAGTCATAGGTGGGCCCAGGGAGGGTGGTGAGGTCGCACAGCACCGACCGTGCATAAAGAAGCCCTCTGAAGGAAGTTATAGGCTTGTGGGGCCTGATACCTTGCTGGGCATCCCAACCAGCCAGAGCTCATTAAATGGCAGAAGAAACACCAAAACCCCTCAACCTTTCCCAGTTGTTTGTGTGGTTATGACTCAAAATCCCCACTAGAGGGCAGGCAACTTTAATTTAAGATGATGGATTTTTTTTTACAGGTGAATAAACGGGATAAATGATAATCATTATTGGTATAATAAATAATCATAGGTAACATTTATTACATACATTCTAAAAGCTGGGAACTCCCCCAAATGCTATATATGCATTATTTAATTTAAATTACTTATTGTATTCTTATAAATAATACAGTTCTTTCCCCAAAACTGCATTGGAAGTTCCATGAAGATAATGTCTGTTGAATTTGCTATTCTGCACTGATTGATTAGTGAGTCTGGAAGATTGTAGTAACTGAATAAGTACTTGTTGAATGAATACATGTTAAATGAACTGAATCTTAAGTTCAAAGCCAAAAGGTGGAGGCTGTTATTCTTATAGCACATTAGTAAAGTTGTTTTTAAATTTTGTAATATCTCTTTTTCGGTATTTGAAATTATTAAGTAGGTGTCCCAGAGTGTTCCTTCAATAGCTTTTATATGCTTTATGTTGGGGGCTGGTGGGAAATATTCTTTAATATTCTTTAATATTCTTCAGGCCTCCTATTGTCAAAACTAAAATCAACAAGATCCTTCTTTAGAAGAACTTGTACTATTAACTTATTATCTTGATTAAAGGTATTGTAATTATCTGGACCAATCTGTAAATGTGCCTTCAACAAGGTCTTATAGTGCTGACCTCATGCCAGGCACTGTTCTAAGGACTTCATACCCTTATAAAGGTGCTATTATTAGCCCCATTTTACAGATGGGTAAATGGTAACTATTATTGGCCCATTTTACAGATGGGGAAACTGAGGCATGGGGGGGGTTAAGAAAAGAGTTTTCACAACCAGTAAGTGGAGCAGCCAGGCTGAAAACCCAAGTGTTCTGGTGGGAGATGCCTCCCGGCACCCGGTCACCATACTGCCTCCACAGCTCACCTAACGAGATTATGTGCTCATTACATAAAGTCCTAATTGCACAGGTAATGATGCTGATAGGGCACAGCAAAACAAATTTGGGAAAACTTCCATGCATTTTTATCCTGGACTTTTCATTCATCTGACATAATAGTGTTGGGAAAAGGTCAGATGGTGTCCTGGCCTCTTAAAATCTTGTTTTTAGACAGGGAGTTATTCTGTCATGGCATGATAAGAAATTATAAACAGCGATCCCCTTTCCAAAACACCAAACACACCAACTTGCAAAGGCCAGACTGTTCTAGGGCAGAGTTCTTGGCGTATCAACAGAAAAACCAAAGCATACAATGCAAACATTTTTTTTTTAATATCCTCAAAATGCAATATACTTATAGCCAAGGGAGTTTTGCAATGAAAACAACAGGTAACAACCATATGACTCAGCAATTCCGCTCCTAGGAAGTCACCAGAAGAACTGTAGACAAGTGTACAAAGAAAAACGTGTACGTGAATATTCAGAGCAGCACGATTCAACTCTTCCAATAACGAACTGTATCATTTTCACCAAGGACGACATTTGCATGTCTCTACCAAACTGCTGATTCCCTCCTGATGACCCAAAGACCACAGGCACCCCTAACACACCATCTAAAACACACCCCTTCTCCTCTCCCACACCCCAGTCTGCTCCTCTCCCGGGCCTAGCTCTGTGACTGGAACTACCATTCATCTATCTGATGTGGGTTAAATCGTGTCCCCCCAAATTCATATGTTGAAATTCTAACCACAGTACCTCAGAATGTGACTGTATTTGGAAATAGGGTCATTGCAGATGTAACTTAACTCAATTAGTTAAGATGAGGTCCTTAGAGTGGGTCCTAATTCAACAAACCTGCTGTTCTTATAAAAGGCGAAATCTGAACACAGAGATGGGCTCACAGGGAGGTCACTATATGAATATAAAGGCAGAGATCAAGTGATGCTTTTGCAGGCCAAGGAACACCAGAGATTGCCAGCAAACCAACAGAAGCCAGGGGAAAGGCCTAAAACAGATTATCCCAGAGTCCCCAGAAAAAGAACAACCTCACTGATGCCTTGATCATGGACTTCTGGCCTCCAAAATTCTAAGACAACACATTTCTGTTGTTTAAGCTCCCCAATTTGTGGCACTTCGTTATAGCAGCCCTAGAAAACTAACACACTGCCCAGTGGAGATTTACTCACTCCCACACCCAGTGGCTAGATCCCATGCAGTTCAGCTCCAGAACAGCTCCTAGAATTCAGCCACTACCCTCTTTCCAGGGCCTCTGTAGGTGTGTTGGGAAATTGGTTCTCTGCAAGCCTCATGTTAGGACAAGATAGGAAGGGACTTTGTTGACCAAATGGCACAAGGATAGATCCAAGCTGGCGCAGGGGAGAGAGGGTCTAGGATTCCAAGGGGATATAGAGCTGGTGGGGCTGGCCAGCAGGGGTGAGGGCGCACCTCGCTATGGGTAAGACAAACACCGGCTCCCTGCTGGGCTGGAGAAGGCTGAGACCAAGCAGGCTGGTGCAAATGTCAGAGAGCTGGGGCTCCCCTGGGCTCTGTCCCCAGGGCAGGCTTTGGGGCTGGGCTTTCTCCTGGGATGCGTGTGGTGGGTGAGTGGAGACTTGGGGGCACCTTTCCTGTTGGGGTTCCCTCGGGCATGGCTGCCACGTGCACATCCCTGAGGCACCAGCTCCGTGAGGCTGCAGAGGGTGCGCCTTTTCCAAGGCAAACCAAACGGACGGGTTTGCTGATGAGATTCCAGGTTTCAGTCCAAGAGGTGCGAGCTGAGCAGGTCCCTGGCACAGCCCAGCATCGGCTCTGGCTCTGCCAGGAAACAGGAACCCTGGGAATTAGACTCTAAACCCTGGGAGTGAGCAGTGAAGGACCTGGAGCCCAGGGCCTCCCCCCGCACCCAGAAGGGCTCGGAGCAGCTGTGCTTGCCTTGCCCTTTGTCCCCTCCTCCTCCCTCACCCCCTGCCCCTTGGGCCCTCGCTCCAGGTCCCTCCTTCCTCCTCTCTCATCCCTTTAGCCCCCTTTGCCCTACCCCCTTCCTTTCGGGGACCCCTGTTCCTTCCTTCCCTCTTGGCGACCCCTTTCTTCCTCCTCCTCAATCTTCCTCCTCCCTCTGACTCTTCCTTCTCCCCGCTTCCCCTCTCCTGCCTTTCCCCTCCCCGTTCCTGACCCCCACCTCGTTTTCCCCTCACCTGTCTGCCTCCCCTTGCCGTTGCTTCACTCCCTCCCCCACGTTCCACTTAGCCCTGCCTTCCGCTCCACCTTCCTTCACTCCTCTTAGCTTTCCCTCCCCCTCATTTCCCCCTTACCTTTCCACCTGCTCCCCTCACTCCCCCCTCCCCCGCTGCTCCTTCTCGCCCCTCCCACGCCCCCGCCCATCACTGTTTGCTTTCCTCCCGGATCCAGATGAAGGGCTTGCCCTGCCCCTGCCCTGCCCGGCCGCATTTCCGGCTGCTGGGGTCTTGCTTCATGGCTGAGGGCTCGGGGACGCAGGCCCCGGGGAAAGAGCCCCCGCTCAGCATCCAGGTCCTGCGAGCCCAGTACGCGGGCTTGCGAAGGCAGCAGAGGGCCCAGGCCCACCTGGTGGTGCTCCCGAAAGGTAGGACTGGGCAGGTGCTGGGGGCAAAAGTGGAGGGGGGGGCCTGGCCGTGGGCGCAATGGGTGGTGGGCTGCGGCCAGGGCGAGGCCGGGGCTCTGTGGGCCCTCCCGGTGGGAAAGAGCAGGGATGCCAGCAGAGCCAGGGCGGGGAGGCCCGTTCCGGGCCGCTCTGCTTGGCTCGGTTCCCCTCCAGGGGCCTCAGGCAGGCATCTGGCCAGCTGTTGGCCGTACCTGACCTCAGCTCTTATGTTCTCACCTTACCAGACTGTTCTGCCTAGTGGACTATGGCTTGGCCCCCTGCTGGGCCAGGTGGGGCGATGGGAGCTCTTCCGCTGGGACTCACCTCCTGCAAAGCTGAGAAACTGGCTCTGGAGAGAGCCAAAGTGGTGTTCCCAACAGCCCTGGCGCCGGCCAGAGGAAGCGCGGGCCTCAGGGACTGAGGAGGCACCCTGGCTCACGGAGCTTGCTTATCACCATCTCAAACAACTCTCAAACTAACTTCCAAGGAGGCATGAGATACAGAAGCCTCAAAGGGAGAATGCCTCTTCCCTCTGGGAACTCAGATTTTATTCCTGGAGGAAGTTAGGAGCATACGGCTCCATCCCACCCTTCCCTCTAACAGAGGAATGAATGGGTCAAGGGAGGTGGGAAGGTCAAGGCTGTGCCTGGGGGGGGGGGGTTGTGGTTATTTGTACACTTCAGGACTCATTGAACCGCCTGCCCAGCACTAGGCCAGCTGGGAAGGAATCAGGGGCCAGAGGGACATCACCATCCGGGGCAGGAAGAGTGCTGCCTTTTGGAGACAAAAGTGGTACCCCGGAGCTGAAGGTGCCCATCTCCCGTTACTTGGGCTGTTGCCAGCCAGTGGGTTCTGTTTGAACTGAACTGGCACAGCCAAATAGCCCTCCATCTCTGCAGGGTATACCCTGAAAGGTTCCTAAAGCCCTAGTCCATCCACAAACATGTTTATGCATTCAGTCATTCAGCAAACATTAAATTAAACCACTATCAAATGAAAGTGCTTAAATGCTTAACAGACCCACAATTCATACTTACAGATCCATGTAATGGGCACATCCCAAAGACAGTCCAAGTTGACATGCCCCACAGAACTCACCACTCCCTGCCCCAACCCTCCCTCTGGCTCTTTCTCCCACACTCTGTAACTCAGTGCGCTCCCCCCACAGCTAGCAACAGGTGATCAGTTAAGGCAAGTTAATGCCAGAAGTGCTGGTTAGACACTGCTTTGTCAGGGAAGACTTCTGACTTCTAGGCGAGGTCAACCACTCAGCCGTATCTGTTTGGGGGTCAGGGTCCAGGTGTCCCTCCCACTTTGTCTTTCTCCTTGTCCCCTGCGGACCCCAGGCTGGGACTGACAGCTAAGGAGGCTCCTCTCGGCAACCAAGACCTGCCTGTCCATGTGGACATAATGGAGAGGATCCTAGTTCCTAGGTTCTCCCATCACGTCCCCTCTTCCTCTGTTCTCAAATAAGCACATAACATTTTGACTTCTGGTAAGGGTGTCCATGTTTGTCATGCTGAGAAAAATCCAGTAGTCCTGAAGTGGGAACACATTTTCAGGCCCTCCACTGTTTGCAGAGATGGCCGCACCAGTCCTGTTTCTCTCAGACTCCCAGACTGGGAGCTCAGGGCCTTCCCTCTGCCTTTATACCCCAGCACCTCAGTGTCTCCCCTACTGCATGCAGGGCCTCCCGCCGTGACAAATGCCAGAATGCTCAGGGGAGCTCCGCTGAGGATTCAGAGGCAACTAACTGCAGGCTTTGGAACACCTTTCAGGCATTCCCACAACCCTCTCTGCCACCAAGGGTCAACCATAAACTGTCGTGTGCCACAACAAAACAAAACAAAACACCTGAGAAAGAAGAGAGACGTTGGTCTGGGTCCTCATCCCTACAGCCAGTTCGGAGAAGCAGGAGGTGCTATAAATGTGTTCCCAGAACAGTGTCTGTGGGATGGGAGAAGGCAAGGGGCCAGTGCTCCAAAAGGAGCTGCTTTGAAATACAGCTCCTCCCTCCTCCACCTTGGGCGGTAAACCCATTACGGGAATCTCAGAACACAAAACCCCGTAACTGAAGAGTATTCTTTTCCACTGGCCAGTGTGCATGTGAGTCCGTCCCATTCTTTCAGTTGGAATGCTGGGGTCACTCCCTCACTGCAGTTAAGAACTGGAGTCTATTAGTAAACTCTGTTCTGTTTGAGTTTTTCTTCATAGCATTGGTTACCACCTGCAATTTTATTATAATATATTCGTTGGCTTATGTCTTTCTACCCCACTAGAATATATCCGTGAAGATGGGGATTTTTGTCTCAATGTTTGCTGCCATATTCCCAGAACCTAGAATAATGGCTGGCACGTAATAAGTGCTCAATAAATACTTGTTGAATGAATGAATACTTGTGCATGAGTGTGTGTTAGAGAGCATATGTGTGGGCATGGGAGGGAGTATACACGTGTGAGCATATGCAAGTGGGATCATGTGCGATCCATGTATGTGTATGTGCACACATGCAGTGTACTGACTACCTCACTTCCGTGACATTTTGGGATAGCATTCCTATGACTCGAAAGCTCTGAGACCCCCAAAATCAGAGCTGCCCATGTACGTCCCAGTGGTGACCCTGCTTGTGCCTTGCTTTGTCAGGAGGGTACACGCCTGTTCCTGCTGAGTCCATGGTCAGTCCTGTTTGGATTAACAAGGAGAGAAGGCATTCGCTGTCCCTGGAGGATGCAGATCCTGAGGCAGAGGGGATGCTGGAGGAGGCTGACGGAGGCTGTCTTCAGGCCCCTGAGTCTCCATGGCATACGCACCTAGAGATGTACCGCTGCATCCAAACCTTCCACCAGGAAACCAGTCTTTCAGTAAAACACAAGGACAAGCTCATGGGGTCTGAGCAAAGGCTCCCTCAGGAAGGAGACCCAGGCTTGTTTGAAAACAATCAGATGACTCAGCAAGGGACCACCATCCTACAAACAGCCCAGCGTGAATGTCCGGTGGGCAATGCCGAAATAAAGGTAGTGGGATCTGGCTTAAATAAGGACATTCAGCCTCCTCCTTCCAAAAAGAACCCACACTGGTCTGGAAAACCAGCTCACTATCCATTTCCCCAGAGGAAAACTCCCAGGATCTCTCAAACTGCCAGGAACCTGGGCTTGTATGGCCCAGCCTGAGGTCTTCTACTCAGCCAAATATCTGTTGAAACCATCGATGGCCTCATCAAAGAACCCAGGAGGTAGAGCCATGACTCGGGCCTCTAGCTATGAGCAAGAACGGGACTGACTCAGTTGTAGGGATTTTGAACTTCATGGTGGACACATGGTCTTGTCCTTCAAAAAAGAAGACATTGCCTAGGCCAGATCTCACACAGTCTAGGATGAAAGAGTGCTGTCTGATCAATGTGGCCCTACTGTGTTTGTATATAAAGATGTGACTATGGAGCCCTAGATGCCCATTCCTTGGAGAGGTCCAGTAGGACATCTCTGTCCCTAGAAATGGGAAGTTTGAAGCATAACACCGGCACCCTAGCCAAAGCAATGCCTTAGCAGGGCCCTGGAGCCAATGGGTGTGGACAGTCTTGTTTTCAATATCTTCTGATGATTTCTCACATGATCTGGAGAAGATGAGCTCTGAGAATTGCCTTTTTCTGGTTACTGTGTCTGGAGGCCAGCTCACTGAGAAGCCACTACATTCATTGGTAGTGACCATACCATTTCAACTGAGGCTCCCAAAGTATGGTCACTGTGGGTTTAAATAAAAAACAAAACCCTACTGTTTTGTGTGTTTAAGGGGTGTTCAGGAAGGGTGGTCACCTCTTCCCCTTCCACTGAGACTGCACGTTCCAATGTCATTACAGGTGTATTTCCTCCCTCCTTCCCTCTCGTCTCCCCGCCCTTCCTCCCTTCCTCCCTTCCATCCATCCATCCCATTTGTCTGTTTTCTCACCCTCCCCCCCTTGCTCTCTCTCACTCTCTCTCTCCTAATTAAGTTCTTTTTTTTTTTTTAAAGATTTTATTTATTTATTCATGACAGAGAGAGAGAGAGAGAGAGAGAAGCAGAGGGAGAAGCAGGCTTCCAAGGAGCAGGGAGCCCGATGCAGGACTCGATCCCAGGACCCTGGGATCATGACCTGAGCCAAAGGCAGACGCTTAACCATCTGAGCCACCCAGGCGCCCTGTCTCCTAATTAAGTTCTTATTAAACAGTGCAGGTCATTGAAGATATACGGTTAAGAGGAGCCTGAGCAGGAAACAAGGAAATACTCCTGCTTGGAAAATATGTATCCCCCACAAACTCCCTTTTCAGCCAGATTTGAAGCACTCAGATCCTCCCTGGGATACATTAAACTTAAGACAAAGGGAAGCAGGTGTTACTGCCCGGGTCCTGGGAAGAAAGTAGGTCTTTCCTGGTTAATGTTTAACCTTAGTAATGACATTTAAACACACCGAAGGTGCCTTTCCCTCACATCAGATAATCTCTCTGTAAAGTTTCACTTGTATTTTCCTCTTTTTTCCCCAGTGGTGATCCAGTCTTGCCAATCTACACCCAGAGTGGTTAACTAGGTGTGTCATTACCTGGCAAAAATACATATGTGCCTGCTTCTTGGATCACCCAGAAATCCACTCCAATTTGGGGATTTGTTGCAATTCCTTTTGCGAATAATCAGTAAGAGCCATTGTTAATTTTTTCCTAGTCTAATGAAAAACAAGGACATTTTTCTGAAAACCCTTTGTCCTTTGCTTTGTTTTAAAGAGGACTGCCACAAGTAACCCCTCTTTCTACGATGTATCAGTCAGGATAGGCTATGTTTTGCTGCAGAAACAAACCCTCCAAGCTCACAACAGCAGCTTTTCTTCACTCATGAAAAGTCCACGTGGATTTGGGCAGACTTCCCAGGGCAGCTCTTCTGCATGTACTGCCAGGAGCTCAGGCTGCTTCCGTCTCATGGCACCTACAGTATCAACACTGGTTTCCCTGATCACTGTAGCAGGAGAAGAAAGTGCACTAATAGTCACGCACTGGCTTTCAAATCACTTCTACTTACGTTTCATTGCCCAAAGCAAGTCTTGTGGTCCTATCCTCACTTCAAGGGTATGCAATCATCCCAGGTGCTGGAAGGAGAGAAGAAACGGAAGGCACAGGTGAATGGCCTGCCCGGGCAGATGGGGGCCAGGTTATAGTACAATATTAGATTTCCTTCTGAATACAGTAAGTAGCCATTAAGAGATTTACATATGAGACAAATGATTTAATTTGCAGTTTAACCTGATTACTCTGGTTGTTCTTTGGAGAATGAGTTGAGGCACATTAAGAGGCAGTACCAGGGAAAAAATGGCCAAGGCAAGTTCAGTGGGAAAGATGCAGGTCAAGCAAGAGTAGGAGCCGAAGAGATGGGGAAAAAGTAGATACATTGGATATGTATTTTGGAGCTAGAGCCATTAGGATTTACTGAAGGAAGATTAGAAGTTCAGTTTGAGGGATCCTGAGTTTGAGATGTTCGTGAGACACACAAATGAAGATATCAAATGGGCCAGTGGATAAATGAGACCAGAGTTCTGGGCTGGACATGAATTTAAGTGGCGTGAGTGTGTGGAGGTACTGAATGGGATGGGGGAATGCCAGCTGCCCTATACAGAGAGAAGACAGGGTCCAGAATGAGTCCTGAAAATGCATAATTCACTTACTTGAAAAATCTCTAAGGATTTTTCCAGTCTTTTAGGAGAGGTGGGGAAGAGGGAGGAGGGGCAGTGAAGGACACTGACGAGCAGGACCCTGACTGGGGAGAAAAGGAGAGCCAGGGTGCTGGGGAGTCACAGACCTTGAGAAGCAAGACGTAGCCCAGGTCACTCCCCTGACTAGCCTTCCACAAATCCCTTTTCTAGATCCACATTCCTCAGTCTGAAGTTGCTTCTTCTTGAGGATGGGTTTAAAAGGCCAGAGTCCGGGGTGCCTGGGTGGCTCAGTCAGTTAAGTGTCCGACTCTTGATTTCAGCTCAGGTCATGATCTCAGGGTCGGGAGATTGAGTCCTGGGTTCAGCTCTATGGTCAGAGGGAAGTCTGCTTAAGATTCTCTCTCTCTCTCCCTCTCCCTTTTCCCCTCCCCTGCGCTCAAATAAATAAATAAAAATGACAACAACAGTAATAATAATAAAAGGCCAGAGTCCAAGAGACAATGTCCGAGTGGGAAAACTTTTCAGCCAAGACCAGGCCAGGTCAGTGTCAGCAAGTTCAGGTCAGAGCCAACTGCCTGCCTGCCATCGAGGCCTACCTGACAGGGAGGCGCCTTTGCCCCAGAAGCCTGACCTTTTCTGGGACTGAGCTGTTCTCATGCTGGGGGTGGGGCCGAGGATCAAGTGTTCCCATCAGAGAACTTGAAGGGAGAGAGGGCAAGAGCAGGGCTGGTTTGGAATCCTTCCTCTTCCCACAAGGCTGCTTTTGCCAAGAGCATTGGACCAGAACCATCCCTCCGTTGCTCAATTACACTCATGCTGCTTCAACCCATGGGCTTGCACACCTGCTCGGGCAAAGGGTTCAGCTTAGTCTGGGCTGTCACACCACCTACCGCTCTGACAATCTCTCTCCTCTGCTGGGCACGACTGGAGCTAACCTCTTCCCATACTCTCCACGGTGCTAGAGCAGAGGAGGGTTCTCAGGAACTAGAGACCAACCAGCTCACACTGTGAGTCCCGCATCGGGTCTCCTAGCCTTCCAACCACAGCGAGGACACCCCGATGTGGCTGCTGGTGACAGGCTTCAGTCTTCCAGGCTCCAGTCTCAGCATTGCCATTGGGAGATATGACCCTGGCTGAGTTAGACATGAGGTGAGAATAGCTCCTGGGGGCAGGAGCCAGGACAGGAGAGTCCTTGGCATTCGCTGGCAATTCTGTCACATCCCCACTAGGAGGCAGCCTCCCCTCATGCCACCTCAGCCTGATTCCCTAACTTTTCATCCCAGGTCTTATCTCTCACTCAAGTTAGACCCCACCAACCTACCTCCCTGCCCCAGCGCAGCCGGGCAGCACATACCTTTAAGGCCGGCGTCAAGGGGCATGGTCTCCTTATTCTTACAGCCCTCTCTTGTTCTGAGGGTACAGCCTTTTGGCATCAGGGTGGAAGGCACAGAGAGCACAGACGGCTCTTTATGTGATTGGCTGTGGTGTCTTTTGGGTCTCTCTTCCCTTGGCTCTCTACGGTGACCTAGCTCATGGTCTGTAGGCTTGGTGTGGACAGGTGGGGGCCCCCACAGGCTCCTGCAGATGAGGGACTCCCTCCCGTAGCCCTAGCCCTCCCACCCCCTCTGCATCAGAGGTCCACCAGGTGTCCCAGTCTCATCTACTCTCTGCTGGCCCAACTGGGGCCTATGCACACAGGCAGGAGTCATCTCTGCATGTATGCACTGCCACCCCCTTTGCCAGAGAAGCAAACCAAATCCACCTGTAATGCCTCTAGGTTACAAAATTGAAACCTAAAGACAACCAGTCACACACAACCAACTAGGCGTTGGGCTATTGTGAATCAATAATTTCCTCACTTTGCTTCCCTGTCTGCTGTACCAAAGTCTCTCCCTGAGCTCCTGTTGGTGGGGCACCCCTAACCACCTTTAGTTCGGGGCTAACTGGTCTGAATCAATTTTTGCTCAAATAAACTCTTTAAATGTTTACTATGCCTCAGTTTATCTTTTAACACTACTATGTTAAACTGCTTCCTTCTGATTCCTTCCCTTCATTTATTTCTATATCATCATAGCTAGGAAATCCTTTCAAAATATTTTTGACTTGAAAACTGTCAGTGGTGAAATTGGTACTTCTATCTGAAGGCCAGAGAGAACCCTGTGACTTTTTCTAAATACTCTGCTTCTTAACACCTAACCCTGCCCCAGCCTTCCAGGCATTGTTTATCCCTACTTTGCATGAACATTCCTTTAGGTCTCCTCCTTATTGTTTAGAAAGACCCAACTGACCCACCATCAACATTTTCCATCTGCACATAAATTCCTGAAGTAGGTTTTTTTTCTTACTGCTGTGGTTACATTTCTTCCACAGCTAATGAGCAATATGATTCCTAGAAACAGTATTCAAGGGATTGAACATTTCATTTTAATTTTATTCCTTGGCTCTGGGTTTGTGGCAGTTACATTAAGATTTCCCCTTCACTTCTTTCCAGGAAGACAATAC